ATTTAAAACAAAACAGCTGAGGATGTACTTTAGTTGGTAGAGTGCTTACAGACAGGAAGCCTAGGTCCACAACACTGCATAAAACTAGGCATGGTGGCTCAGGCCTGTAATCCCAGCATTTGGAAGGAGGTAGTAGGATCAAAAGGCTCAGGGTCCTTGGCTACAGCAAGTTTGATGCCTGCCTGGGTTACATGAGATCTGGTCTTAAAACCACAATAAGAGGTGAGACAATGGGAGGAAGGGACTGGACCTGCCTGGACTGAGTCTACCTACCAGGTTGATTGCAGTCCTGGGGGGGGGGGAGGATTTGCCCTGGAGGAGGTGGGAATGGGGGGTAGGCTGGGGGTAAGGGGAGGATGTGGGAGGGGGGAGAATAGGGGAACCCGTGGCTGATATGTAGAACTGAATGGTATTGTAAAATAAAATAAAAATAAAAAAAAAAGGTGAGACAAAGCATTCTGCAAATCACATCTCTCATAAGGTACTAAAAGCACAATTTAACACAAGGAATCTGGGTACCTTTTTTTTAAAAAATGCAAGGGCAAAACAGGAGATGCCATAGTCACTAAGGGGATCCTTCACGCTGCCCAGGAGGGTTAGAATCACACTCCAAAACAAGCAATGGGAGTGAGCAGAACCCTTACACACTGCTGGCAGGAATAAACACAGCCACTTAAAAAGGGTTCCATAGTTACTACTTGAACCTAGTGGTTTTATCTTTAGGTATGTACCCCCCCCCCCAAAAAAAAAGGCTGAAAGCGTGCTGACAGTAAAACTTGTACATGACAATTCACAGCAACACTGAAGCAGAGTGGAACAAGTTAGATGCCCACTAAGATACATGTTACATTCATACAACTGGCTTGCTTAGCAAGACAACTGACAGTACAACATTGATAGGCCTCAAAAGCATTTTAGTGAAATGCCAATCACAGAAGACCACCTGCTGTGGGATGTTCTCTATGCTGTGAGTGTGTTGCTCTGATTGGTTGATAAAATGCTGACTGACCAGTAGCCAGGCAGGAAGTATAGGATGGCTTTCACCCCTGTATTTGGCTCTGTTTCTTAAAAAGATTGTTTAGAAATTCATCTACAACCACCTATTAAACATCCTTGTTCATTTGAATGCTCAGAAGAGAAAAACCCAGACTGCCTAAAGGGGTGAGCAATGAGGCAGAAGGACACCTTATAGGTAAGGCATTCCTTTTGTGTTGAAATGCTTGGGAATGGCGAGATTGGGTGGGCACATGGCTTTGAGAAAACCAAGAACTTCTTCAGCTTGGGAGTTGTCATGTTACATACCCATGGCTAGCTTGCAACAAACATGCTATGTAGATTAGTTTCGCCACAAAAATAGTACCTTCCTGCCCCTGTAAGCCAAGAGCTGAGGTTACAGATACGAGCCACTATACTCAGGTAGCATGTACAAGGTCAGGATCGCAAGGCAAGCCTTGGCAACAGAGCAAGCTTGAGGGTAGGCTATATTCATGAAAGCCTGTCTCTAAAAAGCCAATGGAAGCTAAAGCCTGCTTATAATCCTAGCTATTTAGAAGGTTGAGGGAGGAAAGATCTTGAGTTCAAAGCCCACCTTAGCTACACAGACACCATTTGCAGATAAAAACGGCTGAGGATGTTGTATATAGCCTGTTCGTAGAGTACTTTGCCTGGCATGTTTAGAGCCTTATGGGGCTATTTCCTATTTTAAGAACTGGAGCTCCATCAGTGGTTAAGAGCCCTTGAGGCTCTTGCTGAGGACCAGATTTCAGTTCCCAGCACCCGCGAAGGGAGGTTCATGCCTGTAACTCCAGCTCTAGGGGGTCTAACTCATTTTGGTGCCTACAGGCACCTATACACAAGTGGCATATATTCACAGGCATACATGAATTTCTTTAAAAAGATACAACCATGTACAAAGAGTAAATATAAATAGTAAATACAGATTCCATTGCCAAAAATGACTTACAATATACCTCAACTTAGAAATGTAAGACCATTATCTTGAAACTGCTGCTGCTTTGAAAGATATGCAAGGCTGGAGAAATGGAACATCAAGAACAAGCACTGGCTGCTCTGGACCCAGGTTTATTCCCAAACCCACATGGTGGCTAACAACCATTTGTTAACCCCAGTTCTAGGGAATCCAGTAACTTCTTTGACTCCTCCAGTACCACCGAAACACACATAAAAAAGAATTAAAACTGTTTAAGCTTTGCATAAGAAGCTCATAGATGGCTCTGAAATAAAACAGTTGCCAACACAAACATGAGGATCTGATTCTAATTCCCAGCAGATTCCTCGAGCTGGTAGGAGACCCTGCCTCCAGTCTGACAATGAGTTCAAGCCCTGGGATCCAATTATGGAGAGAACTGCCTTCTAAAAAGTTGACCTCCATATACATGCAAACACAGAAATAATTTAAGATGAATATGACTGAGGAATATACCCAATGCTGATCTCAACTTCTGGCCCACAAACTCCATCTTCTGCCCCCACTCAAAAGCGGGGGGTGGGGTGGGTGAGTGGGCGGGGCCGCACACTGGGACAACAGAAAACTTTCAGTTTATAGTATAAAAAGGTTTTAGATTCCCCCTTGACATAACAAAGTTAACAAATTCTACTGAAGCCTCCAGAGAATGGTTCACCATTTTTCCATAAGGAGTGTTGCAGACTTGCAGCCATCCTCACCTACCTTTAAGCTTCTACAGAACTCAGCAAACAAGTGTACTCTTGTAGAGAACAGGGTCACCATCCCCAGAAGTGGACCTGACACTGTTCTCCATTCTCCGAGTTTAGGCTAAGGAGTATCAACAGAAAGTATCACATTCTACCATTCATAGATTTACTTTTTATTCAATGTTAATGTTACAGAGTTCTTACACTGCCGAACCATGCCTGAGAACCCAAAGAAAGAAATGGTGCAATGGACAGCCTCATCCACCCAGACAGTGTATTAAAACTTGATTCATGTGCATTTTGATAATTTCACAATCTTAAAAATTTATAACAAGACTTGGAATTTACATCTGCTGCAGGTCTTCAGTGTTCCAGTACAGTATGCCATTAAACAAACCTCTTCACATGTCTCCGTTCACTTCTCAAACCCTAACCCCAAACAGATTTGGGGGTGGGGGTGGGGTTGGGGGTGTAAAGCATACTTTAAGCGAAGTATGTGGCTCAAGGTGAGAGATTACTTGTTAAGGTTTCTGGTCCCCAAATAAGTCTTCAGTTTGACCAAGAATATCAAACTTCTAATCACCCAACGTGCTCCTGGCTAGCTCAGATCACGCCAACATTACTGCCCAGAATGGCATGCAGTCTGGTCAGGAAACACTGACCTACACCTCCTCCCGCTTCCTGCTCTGCTGCACTCATTCCTGAACTGCAAGACCTATTCTCAAGCTAGGAAGGCTTCCCTCATTATGTTTCACTCCTGTCTCAACTGCATTTGGCAAAGGAACTCATTCCAGACAAACCCAGGCACTGCCGTCATGCAGTCTCAGCTGCCAATACAGAGTATTTGTCTGAACCATTTCTAGTGACCCAGAAGTAGGTAACTGCCAGACTATTTCACTAGGTGGAAGGGAACACAGCAGTGACCTCGTTAAGGGCCAAGTACTACTGCAACGTTCAACTGAAATTACTAAGAACAGAAGTGTTACATCACTGGCTATTCCCTGCCTTTCCAAGTGAGCATCACAAACATACTCCCAAGGTGGACAAAAGCTGGCTGGAACAAGGAATGTAATTGCCAGTATCTTCAAATTTAAAGTACACACACAGATAGATTTGTTATCAGACACCAAGCAAGATTCGTGAAACAACTTCAGGGTGTTGGTGAGGTTTTGCTCCTGTTGCTTTGAATTGTTAAGACAGTTCAGTGAACCCCTCCCTACCTGAGCAAACACCACTCCGTCCACAACAGTTCAATTTAGACCTGATTAGAGGAGGCTTGAGCAGCACCCGGAGTGGAGCCTCTGGCATCCACTGCCCTTTCTATCAATGGCGATCTGGTTCCACCTAGGGATTGGCAAATTCACAGGGCATTTCACAATTCCAATGCCTCATTCAGGCTATTTCATCACACAATATGCTGTTAAAAGAACTTACTCCAAGTCAAAGCAAGGCCTTAATGTGGAACAGAACAAGCACTATCTGAATAAAAAGGTATTCAAAGAAACAAGACTATCCCCCACCCATTCCCCATTTGGTGGATCCAAGTTTGGTTGAATTGAATCTGTAGTCACTTCATCCTACAACTAAAAACTTAAATGATAAATCAAAGCCCCACACAGATGATCCACACACATCAGTTCAGACAGCGGCTTGTTCTGGGCAGTCTGATATAGCCACAGCCTACAGAGTATTCCTCAGGGTGGGGCACAGACAGGCGAATTAAGGTCACTTGACTCTTCATTTTCTACAGCAGATCAGAACCCAGACGGCTGACTTCTGAAGGCTTGCTGACAGGAATCCAGTAGAGTTGGTTTCAAGGTTCACACCGACACTAGTAGCTGTAACCTTATGCAGAAGTTGTGATCCACATGAAATCCACAATTAAGTGCAGCAAATCTGAGGTAGTCAACCTTGCGAAGGCTCAGTATCTGAACATAAAGATGTTTGAAATGACCACTGGCTGCAGGTTTGGTTTTATATGCAGAGCAACTATGGAAACACTGCTGAATCTAATTCACACATATTTAAGACAATGAAAACACCCTAAATCCAACACACATCAAGATCAGTTGTGACTCTTGAGCTTCCATAGTGCAACAGGGACAGTCACTGGAATCGAGGTCTTTCAGTCAGTCACTGTAAATCCAGAAATCAGACGCTGAATGGCTGTTCTTGGTGGTTAGCTGTGGTCTAGTTATCTTGGAAGGCTTAGCAAAGACCATTGTTTAACTGTACTGTGTGTGGCTGTACTTCTGATGTTCAAGCACAGCATACTGGTTGTCTAGCTGAAGTTTAAGGG